CAGGAACTTTAACTGTTCTCTTATTTAATCATATCACTAGCATGCCTTAAACTGCATGTTTCTGTAATTTAAAGTACAAATCCTGTATCAGTAGAATAGACTTGGTGAATCACTAAAGAAGAAAAAGGTTTTTGAGAATGAAACAACTTTGCAAGTTTAATAGTAAGAGGTCCATATTTTGCTCTGTTTTTTTCTCTCATTGTATTATTCTTCCTTTTTTCTGTCTCATTAGATGTTAAGCTTAATTTGGGAAGCCTCAAATGTTAAAAAGAGTATATTCCGTGTCCATAGGCAAAGGACCGAAAACTAAACTTTCTTCTCATGCCAAATTAACAAAACAGTAATTACCTTTTGATAAAGGATATCCATTCTTAAGTTATTATTATAGCTGTGGTCCTAGAATTCTTTATTTTAATCCCGAACCAGTAAAGCATAAGCTTTGATTCAAAGAAAAACTGGTTTTACTGTTTACCTTTTCACCTGATCACCTTGAATGGACAAGTGTGGCAAACTTGCAGTTTTTGGCTATGAGATTCTTGGCTGAACTCATTTGATTCCTCTAATCACTTCATATTATAGACAAAGTTTGTTTTTTTCCTTAACTTTAAGAATAAAAATTAGTACAGCCTCAAATGAAATTACAGGAAGTTGCAATTTTCCAGTTAATTGAAAAGAATCATTTCTAATCCTCATATTATTCCTGTTTTGTTGCAGCTGGTCTCAACTCTTGGAAAGTCTTCCTCTTCCAAATGTAAGGTTGCTTATGTTGCTTCTATATACAAACTGCTTTGTCCTCCAATACTTCAAATGATTCTCATATGTGTGTGTCTGTGTGCATGTATATATATATATATGTATATCTTGATTCTATGTGTCAGAAAAAATGGATTTGCCCAACTGCTCCTACTCGTCCTGTGGCTCTACTTGGGGGATTTCCTTACTCTGCATGTAAGAAAATAGTTTGGTCCTATCATCTGGCTTATTGCATAAACTGTATTATATCTATCCATCTATATATCTATATATATATTGGTACTGATGTACCAAATTTCTTGCATCAGGGTTTGATGTTGGTGAGCTGTCAGCAGATGGTCCGGATGATTAGGGTTTAGATGCCTCGGAAGCTCATATTGCAAACTTGTTGTCAACAGAGCCATCTGATGGTATTTTTGAGGAGCTTTATCATCTAGAAATGAATAACCCTGAATTAATAATCTTGTCTTCATGAATTTAAATAAAAACCTTCAGTTGCCTTTCGACAGTTAAGGTCGGAATCTGAGGCTTTAGCATGGGTGCTGCAATGCCCTTTACTCTGCAACTGCTTTTGCTCTGGGAAGGTATGGAAATGGCAACCATACAGCATCAACCTAAGAGCAATTGTTGGACTAAGTGGATGGCTTCCAGCTTCGAGGTATTGCGTCTACATTTTTCGGAGCTAAATTTTGAAGGTAAAAAAAAAGTAGTTGAGTACCTTTAATGTAGCCTTAAGTTTGTACTTGCTCATCAAAGGTGTTACCTTTCAGGTGCGTGAGGAACAAAATAGAAGTATCACATGAAGCTTCAAGGCGTGCCGCGTCATTGCCGATTATGCTTTTCCATGGAACTTGTACGTATCTTTGTCTCTTTCAAGCAAATGCCGCAACTTAACTTTTGCATGGATCCATGGTTTAGCTTCATAGTACAATTTAGACATTTTTTTGAACTGGTAAATACCATGGTCTATGAATCTTTTCCGTGTTAAAATCACACAGCATGTTCATATTCAAAATCTGCTTCAAAAGATGTTTCATTATCGATACTCGGAAGGTCAATAATCAAAGGTTTCCAGGAAAATACTATGAAATTTCCAATTTATTGATTTGTCAACCAAACTGATCCTCCTATACTCTTATTACAGGTGATGATGTTGTCCCCTACAAATATGGAGAAATATCTGCCCATTCCTTAAGTGTAGCCGGATTCCGGAACCTCAGTTTTAAAAATTATGAAGGGTATAACAACAGTAATAAGCTCATTGTTAATTCACAAAACCAGAAAACATATAAACTTTTCATCTAGTTTTGCAGGATTGGTCATTACACAGTCCCTAAAGAGATGAATGTGGTCTGCAATTGGCTTAGAGCAAGGCTGGGGCTCGAGGGACCGCGCTAAATATAGCAAATACTCGGTTTTTACGTTGAACTAGCTAAGGAAGAACACAGAAGCATGCATACGTACAAGTAGGTAGTAAAGAAAATGGTTTGTTAGGGTATACGGTAGCCCTCTTAAATCCCTTTTAGTCCTTTTTACCTGTCCTTAAAATAAAGTTTCATAAGCGTTTTTCGTTGCGGATGTAGGACGTAGATCGTAATAGCGTAGCCTGTTGTACTTTCAGAGCATTTTGGTATTAGTTAAAGTGATATACTGATATTTGAAACCAGTGGCATTTGGTTTCCATTCTAGCCTATCAGCATCCAGCATTCATGGAAGCTCTGTCTAGTAATTATAATTCTCGGTTCTGCTGTTGCCATTTATTACAGTGAAGGCTGCTTCATGTTTTAAGGATCAATGTGACAATAGGAAATGAGTTGCAAGACAGAACATAAGATGAGCATCGACATGACATTGATGGATCCAGTCCTGAAAATCTATTTGAAGCCTCTAAATATTTCTACAAAGAGAATTACATTCATTATCTCATCAAACGATTGCTTATAAATATTAAACACACTTTACTAACGCTACTGTAAAAGGCCATAACGATTGCCTCACATCTCTTATTGTGGTACTAAGGCTACGATTACCTGCAAATTTAAGCAGTTTCTTGTTTACAAATCGATGTAAATAACACAATAATGACTTAAACCCTACTATGTGTAAACCTTGAAGATTAAATTTATCAATATACAATCATGAATTTTCATAATCAATGTTTACTAAAACCGTAAATTTTAAGAGTCGGTATTTATGAAATTCAAAATTTTAAGACATTAAGCTAAAATCGAATAATTCTAATACTTTGGAGGGGATTATCGAAGGTGAGAGGGGTGTGGATGCAAGGGTTACTAAGAGTAGATACATGTTTATTTTAAAATTTGAATCTTTTATGTTAATTATTCATTTTATTGACGATATTCATCTTAAAATTTATTTGTGTCCGCTTTATACAAATAAATTTATTAATTTATGCGTATTCATCTTAACAATTATTTCTAAATTCGCTATTGTTAATTATAGAAGACAAATTTATGCCAACGGATGAGAGGGTGTACAACTTTAAAAAATAATTTCTTTATTTTTCTTTCTTTCTTCACACAAATAAAAAATTTTGAAACTGATTTTTTTTCATAAAAAGATGCCATTGGCCAACTCAATGAATTGTCCCTACTTGAGGATAGCTGTTACTTAGTATACTTTCACATATTCTATGGGGGAAAGGCAATATATATATATATATAAATATACCTTCTATTGTGAATAAGAGTAGTTAGAGATGGTATTGTAAAAAAAAAGTAGATAGGGATGGTAATGGGTTAGGTTTTTGATCAACTCGACCTGATTCGAAATATATATAATTTTTATTTGAATTATACTTGATCAAAAATATATATATCTTTCATCTGATTTGACTCAACTCGAAGAGCATATTTCCTCCACCCGAATCTGATCCAATCCGATTTTTTAGAATATAAATCCGACATGACCCAACCCGATATAAAATAAGGACCTAATTAAAAAAAAGATATAGAGAGATGGGTATTATGGTAATTATCCATAAATTTATATGAAAAAAATTATATTATTATTCCTGGGTCAGGTCGGATCGTAAATTTTTCACCCTCCACTCGAACCCGACCCGACCCAGTCTCACCCCTATATAAAATTTTTTTTTTAAAAACCGATTTTATTGAGTTGGATCGGATTAGAATCCGTTAGTTTCAAATTAAATTATCATCCCTAAAGTAGTCTATTACTATGCCCCTTCTATTAAAACCTGTCACATATATCAGTATTAAATTATTAGAACTCATTAGTAGACTCGTGATTAAGGAAATGTTATTTTCTTAGGAGGTTTAGGGTTTATATTACCTTACAATAATTAAAAAAGATATTGAATAGATATTATTTTACCTTCAATCCAAAATCCAAATTATTCAAAAAAAAATAGTGTTTTAATTATTTCTTATTTGCAGTAATTTATTTATATTATATTAAACGAAAATTACATATTAATTTTTCGTTTATATGATTTAAATTTATGAATAATTTAAAATCAAATAGAAATTTAAATTGATTCAAAAGTTAATGTGTACCATTTTACACTGAAAAATGGTTTTCCAATAAATCAAATACAAATATTAAAGATAAAGGTATATTTAAAATCTCTCTTAATTTTGAAATTAAAAAGTTTGATTTCCCTTTAAAATGAGGAGCAATTTAATATTGTTAATTTTAAAAGTGAGCGCTCTCAATTTTGAAATTGAGAAAATTGGTCCCTCTTAAAAGTGGAACAATTTAGTCTTTGTTAATTTTAAAGTGAGCAATTAAGGACAATTAGTGATGATGTTAATGTATGAATTAAACGACTTCGGTAGTGGATTTGTTGTTATCCGTTAAGATATTAAGTTCGAGCACCACACATGCAAAAGTACATTAAAAAATATTTGAAAGATGACTTCAAACTAATGATTTAATATTTTTTTATGAATAATCTAATTTTTTATTCTAAAATTCTATAATCTCGTATGTTTAATATTTTAATATAAATTTTTAAATTACATCTCTGACATAAAATTTTACTTGAGGTAAACTATTAGTATAATGAGAATTCTGTGGATTTTATAACAATTGACGCTCAATAATTCCTTATTTTTTTCTTTTCTTAAATATATTTAATTTGCAACTTGTATTTCTGCATATAAAAATACTGACAATTGGTTTGAGTTTCAATGTGAGAAAGAATCAACGTGCTAGATTTGCCTGGCCTGCAACTATAAGTAGACCTCTTCTTTCACTATCTCTTCACACCTCTCTTGTTCTCTCCAATGGCTGTCCCAAGTAATTTCCTTCTATTTTCAGCTTCTCTCTTGTTCTTCATCGTCTCTCCTTCTATCCAAGCTTCCTTTAGGCCTAAAGCATTAGTCCTTCCTCTCACAAAAGATGCTTCGACTAACCAATATGTCACTCAGATCAAGCAAAGAACCCCATTAGTGCTCGTCAAGTTGTCCCTCGATCTCGGTGCTGAATCGCTCTGGGTGGATTGTGACCAAAACTATGTCTCGTCTACCTACAAGCCTGCCCGTTGTAACTCGGCTCAATGCAACTTGGCAAAGTCCAAGTCTTGTGGAAGTTGCTTCGATGGCCCTAAGCCAGGATGCAACAACAATACTTGCAGTCTCCTCCCATCCAACAGCTTTAAAAGCATCGGCACCATCGGCGAGGTTGCACAAGATGTTGTAGCAGTCCAGTCGACGGACGGAAAGAGTTCCGGGAAAGTAGTTTCGACGTCCAAGTTTCTCTTCACTTGCGGTGCCACTTTGCTCCTAGACGGTCTCGCTAGTGGAGTTACAGGTGTGGCCGGTCTTGGTAGAACAAAGATTTCAATGCCTTCCCAATTCTCAGTTGCTTTCAGTTTTCCTAGAAAGTTTGCCATTTGTTTAGGTGCACCCAATGGTGTCATCTTCTTCGGTGACGGGCCTTATACTTTCCTCGGTAGGAACATCGACATCTCAAAATCTCTCATGTACACTCCGCTCATTCTCAATCCGGTCAGCACCGCACCGGCCTACTTTGAAGGCGACCCTTCTTCAGACTACTTCATTGGAGTGAGGGGGATCTCCATTAGTGAAAAACCAGTGGCATTGAACAAAACTCTGCTTTCTATTAATAAAGAAGGCCATGGAGGAACAAAGATCAGCACTGCTGCTCCCTACACCGTACTGCAAACGTCAATCTACAAAGCAGTGGTTAGAGCTTTTATCAAGGAAATTCCTGGGATTCCAAGGGTTCCGGCCGTGGCTCCTTTCGGTGCATGTTTCAATTCTAAAAGCATAGGCTTCAGCCGCGTTGGACCAGGAGTGCCGGTCATAGATCTTAATCTACCAAACAAAGTGGTGTGGAGGATATTTGGATTTAACTCGATGGTGGAAGTTAAAGACGACATATTGTGTTTAGCGTTCGTGGATGGAGGATTGGAACCAACGACGTCGATAGTGATAGGAGGGCACCAACTAGAGGACAATCTGCTGCAATTTGATCTAGCCGCGTCAAGGCTCGGGTTCAGTTCTTCCCTCCTGTTCCGGCAAACAAACTGTGCCAACTTCAACTTCACATCTGCTGCTTAAAGGGTCCCCATAAACCCACGGTTTCATCGTCGTTATCATTGCCGGTGTTTTGAGATTGTATGAAAAAGAAAGCAAATTGCTTGCAATAAAATCTGTGCATTGTGCTTGCCAATGGCCTCGTCTGATGTACTTTGTATTTTGAAATGCAAGTTGCAATAAAATTGTTACTTTATATTTATCGAAAGAGTAACCACAGCTGGTTCTATCTTGATGAGATTCAAAATTTTGGATTAAATATTTCCATTTCTGGGTGCATGCATACTTTATTAAGAATATAATATGTCCATATACGGGGGGCCAATTGATTCTTAGTTATCATAGAGGTGGTTATTTCATTGAGTCGAGTCAAATCTAATCAAGTTAAAATTTTTGAGTTAAGTGAATGGACGAATCTTATTTTATAACTTAAATTTTTTTTTGAATATTTTTGAGTGAATCTCTAGTTGTTTGAGTTTATGTTTAAATTTAACTAAAAATATTTATAATATTATGATATTATTTTATTCTAATTTAAATAGTTTTCTATAACTATATACGATAAATAGATACATAGATAGATATATATACTATATTTCTTCATATTTTTCCAGATGTATCGATATAATGTATCATGTAAAGTTTATAGACTCAACTCGTACTTGAAATCAATCTATTAATTATTAAAAATTTCGAGTTATTCAAGTTCTATTTTATGACTCCATTCGAATTTAATTTTTTTCAAATCAGGTCGAAAATTTTGATTTTTTAGTCGAATAAAGTTTTGCTCACCTCTAGCTACCACCGAATCTTGGAATTGGCTTTCAGTAATGGACGTCAATAGCAACGGATACATGAGTTTAGGTTAAAGTGTGAATTTATAAAACTTTAAGGAGATTAAATTAATTTTTTAAAAAAGAGACAATAATAGATTATCAATAAAAAATATAAATAAAATACATAAATTATATAATAATTTAAAAATAATGACCTCCCCACAAACATCCCTAATCTATCGAGGGACAAACGTAAAATATTATATTAAGGGATTAACTTTTAAAATTTTAGAAAGTGATAAACTTTCAAAATTCTAAAGGTGAAATTATATTATTAATATAATATATAAAATAAAACTTAAAATATTTTCGAACAATTGTCTCAATCACTCCCTCAATATATCTCGATCGCTCCCTCGATCCATCCATGAAACCATCCCTAGACGTTAATGGCATTGGATTACAGTGGGAGTAAACAAACCTAGAAAATTCGTCGCTGGAAATCATCCATGTTTGATTTTAGTAAGGTGGCCATGCGATTACATTATTATTTTTAATTAAAGGAATATTGTGAGAGGGCATCGAAGGGCTGCTCACGGAGTCATTTTTCTATTATTACTTTAAAGTTACGATGAAATTCTGCCCAAACTTTAGGTTATGTTATTTTATTATAGGTAGATGATTCCACGTTTCTTAATCATTTTTAAAGAATTTTAAAACAATTAAAAGAGAAACCGGGAATCCAGGATGTGCTATCAAGATCCAAGGATAAATTATTCAAACAACTTTTGATTTAATTATTAACGTTTTAAACTAATATTAATATGAAATTTTTAACTGGTCGAGAGAATCGTTCCTATAATGAACTTCTACAAAATTCGATCTGAATTGATTGATCAATAGATCGAATATCAATAATTAATTGAAAAATATGAACCTTTAATTAAATAATTAATATAACTGAAATCGTGAATTAACTTATCAAATGATCCTAGTGGTTAAAGAGAGTGTTATTCTTCCTAAAAGTATTGGGTTCGAGCAAATGCGTTTGTAAGTTGAGTGTATGTTGTTAATAGTTAAAAAATTATAAATAGATACTACCTTATAATCACTTCAAATTATTTTTAAAAAGTTGGTAACATGCTTTAATTATAAATGATATAATACTAATACATATAATCATCCAGATACACAACCTATAAATTTGATTTTAAAGTTAAATAAATCAATAAATTTAATCATATGCAAAATTTATCAATTTAATCATAATTTTATTTTTAATATATATATATATATAATAAAAAATATTAAAAAAACATAAAATTATTTAAATAGTTTACAACTTCAAAATAGTTAAAAAGTAAAAAGCAAAGAAAACATATTTTAAACATTTAAAATAAGCAATTTAAAAATCCATTAATTTAATGAGTATCAATTATTGACACTCGTATTATCTTATTTTATGTGGGATAGTATCCTAACATTTGTCTTAAAAATAATATCTTTTTACGTAATAAAAATAATCATCAATTTAGTCCTTTCATGTTGCACTTCAAATTATGACAGTATATGTAGATGTAGTGGCAAATTTAAAAATAATTTTAGGATTGTTTGGTTTACATAATATAAGATTATTTTAAGGAATAAAATTATAAAAATATTTTATTACTTTACATATTACGGGAATGTTGCACTATCTTATTTGATTTGTTAAAATTATGGTGTTTAGAAAAAAGAATATAAAATAAACAAAAAAATATGTTAATTTCATCAATGTCATTTTTTACAAAGGACCAAATTAATTATCCTAGTTTAAGAGTTATATTAATTGCAAAATAACTTCAAGATCATTTGTAACACCCCCAACCCGTACCCGACCCGAATATGAATCCGATGTGTCACATTGACCGTTCAAAACGTTTACTTTGACAAAATCTACTGATATTCAGTTAGACATTTCCAATAAAACCCAAATAATTTCTATTGTATAAAACGTATGGTTTTACAAATTGATCAGAGCGTATTCAGTACAAATCTTTTATCTTACATGCCAACTACAGTTCATATGACAAAATGCATATAATTTAAACATGTTTCTGATCTGAATTGTGGAAAGGAGAATCTGACCTGTCTTGCTCCTCTAAACATCTCTTCTTGCTTTCCGGAACCTATGTGTGAAACACTCACACGCTAAGTCTATGACTTAGTGAGGCATTAAACACAAAAAAATAACTCTAGCTACTTAACCATGCATGAACATATCATATCATATCATATCATATCATGATATCACACAAAACAATATAGTATTTCATGTAATCAAATGTACATATATACACATCATTCATCCTTTCCATCATTAACCTTACTTCACTATCAATATGATTATTATTTATATCTTGTAATCATATCTTTTCTTACTTAACGTTTTAACCAACATGACTCATTTAACCACGCAATACACATATCATCATTAAAGTCATACGATACAATTCATCTCTCAAAAGCATATACATCACATGTAATATATTTATTGTTATATCTTTGTTTAGCCCATGCATATTTCTGATAGCTAAATATACATGAGTACATAGAGGTTGTACACTATGCTGTCATCACAGCTCGTAAAATTTCCACTAGGGGCGGGTAGAATTTGTCTCGTAGGACCACTATATCCCGAAGAACCACTGTATATGTCCCGAAGGACCACAACGTCCCGAAGGACCACTGTGTCCCGAAGGACCGCGTAGACCCTCGACTCTTGGCATGCCAAATATATCTCTAGATCTCATAACACATAACATGGGCATTATCTTTATATCGTTTCACATAGCCATATCTCATTTGCTCATAGCTTTTATCATATCATTCATATAATCAAATGATTCACTTTCACGTATCACATATACTTTCTCTTTCATATATCTCATGTCATATATCACATGATCATGTAGTTCACTTCTCATATAACTTTGCATGGTTTTACATAAACATATATCATATCATATCTTATTCATATATATATATATTCGCAAATACATGTAAGCACATATTTTCTTATCTTATAACTTATGTTACATATGCATGTAATCTTATGACTTATTGTTAAGTAACATTGTATTATTACATACTTTATTTCATAACCATATATTCACATAGATCACATAGCACATATACACTCATACAATCAAGCATACATACATTTCATATTAATCACATACTTCATGTACTATACTATCGGAATAGACTTATCGCAAATCAATTTCCATATAATTCTATGCAATAAGATGCACTCACCTTGGCCTCACTAAGTTTCAATCCCCTTTTATGATTTCCTTTCTTTCGATCGAATCTTAACTTGATAGTCGTCCTGTAACTTGTTCGTACTCGATATCCACATAATCATGTACTGATACTTATCAATATCCAATTGATATACTTTAATCTATTATTTCTTAGAATGAAAGAAAGATTTATTCCATTTCCCATTGAAGTGCATCGGTACACTCTATAGTGTATCGATGCATCCCTTAACATGTGCATCGATGCACTATCCATGCATCGATGCACTAAATACATTTGATGTTTTAATCTTATGGGGGTGCATTGATGCACTAATTGCATTCGATGTTCATTTATTTGAGAGTGCTTCGATACACATTGAATATGCATCGATGCACACAACCCATAAATTACATTTTGAGCCCGAAAATTCTTACTTTGACCTCAAATTCTACTTATTAACCCCTCCTTATGCCTTAAAACTCATCTATACATATGTAAACCTTCTTATAACACTATAACACTTCACTATCTCTCATAATTCACCATAATTCTTGAATAAAAGAATTTCATCAAATTTTCCATGTGTTCTAAATTCAATTCTATCACCTCTAACTTCTTAATTAACCATTTGACAAGTCAAATTCATCCTAAGAACTTCAAAAACCTTTCTATAAGAAAAGTTCATTTATAAAGTCTTAATAGAAATTCCTTTCTAATTCTCTCCTCTTAGTGTTTTAAGCTTATATAAGCTTTCCTTAAGCTTATATAACACTCAAGGAATAAAACTCAACTTAAATATTCAAGAATTAACCATCAAAATTAAAACTCACATTTGAGGCTTGAGCATGAACACACGAGAAGAAGAAAGAAAGAAGAAAAAGAAGAGTTCCAAACAACTCTCCAACCACGTGTTATCTCCCTAAATAAGGGATATAAAATATCCTCCAAGCTAATTTACCATATTACCCTTGTAATCCTTTCATAATTACCCTTTAATCCAACACTGAAATATTCTTATTAAATCTTTAAACTTTTTAATTTTCCTAAATTGATCCCCAATTTTAAAAATTCTCATTTTAGTCACTGACCCGGATTTCTGAA